AAACGGATGTGGTTAACGAAATATCCATAAAAAGTAAGCGGCATTGCATTACGTTAAAATGACAAGCAAATTTGCAATTAATTTATAAAAGACTGTTGACCGTGCATGAATGTACCGACAAATTGCCGGTTTCATGCTTAAGTGTTGAAATCGAGGAAAACCTTTTTTAAAATTGAACCCATCATTGATGACATCTACTTTGTTCATATCAATGCCTTTTTTCATTGCGAGTATTTTAAATTTGTCTGCCACGAACAGCAGAGATAAGACTATCACTCAACGTGAAGGTCGATGGTGTTTTAATTTCCTCCATCAATTACTCCAAGGCCTCATAAGTCACATCCGATAGCGTCTCAAGTCGTCAGCGAATAACACAGCTATCTGATAAAAAAAATCTTGTTGATCTCTTACAACGCGTTAGACCGGTCTGTGGTAAACTTTGCGGATCCGACTTGGTCTTTAATGTCCCTTAAAATCGCTTTGAAAAATCCCAGGACTTCCCAATCATCAATTTGGCATAATCATAGGATAATCCTTGAAATACCATTAATTCTAACAGAACTTTAAGTGCCGCCATAATGGTTTCCAAGACTTGTTTGTAGTGAACGAGACGGCGCTAGAGCCCTTAATAGATTCATATATCAACATTTTACTGCGATTTCAGGCATTGGGTGATAACTTCCCAAGCAAACACGCTCCTTATGGGCACACTACGTTCGGTTGGTGGCAATGACTTTAATTCCCATAGAAAACGCCTTGGATTTTTCCATTTCTTCATTGTCAGGGTGAGATGAAAAAATTGCCATCAACTTCAGACTGTTGTCATATCCAAGCCACCCGTCCGATAACTTTTAAAATTATTCCAGTGACAGCTCATTATATTGTTTACAAGGGTGCAAAAGCATTTTGGTGAGAATTTTCCAGAAAAAGAGTTATTCGTGATGGAATTCAAGCGTGATAGTGTGATTTCTTTATATTTGGCTGGAAAATAACAAGTGGCTATCACTTAGAGCACTCCAGCATTTAAATGTGAATAAATCTTTTGTGTCTCGTACCATCGCTCGTTACCGTGATACTGTTAACGTAGCCCGACAATGTCAAGGAGGTGGATGGAAGAAAACAGCAACATCAGCAGAAATGGCTAGAAAAGTAAAGAAGCGACTGGATCGAAACCGGCGTCGCAGTGGCCGAAAAATGGCTCGTGAACTCAACATATCGCAAAATTCCATTCGGCAAATATGGAAAAATGAGCTCGGTGTAATGCCATTGGAATTCCAAAAAGTTCAATAACTTACACCGCAACAGAAAGAGAAAGAAAATAGATTAGTTAAAGAGTTTCTTTGCTTGGCCTAAAGTGGTGAACTGCCGAATTTGGTTTTCTCCGATGAGAAAACATTCATTGACCTGTAGTTTGTAAACAAACAAAATGATCGTGTTATCTTGCCAAAGAGGTCAGCTGAAAATGTGCACCTTCTGTTGGCCACCAGAATTCAAGCGCCGGCCATGTTGATGGTCTGGGCCGCCATAACAGCCGATGGTCGCTCTCGGCTCGTATTTATCGACCGTGGCATCAGAATAAATGCCGAAAATTATCGCGAAAATATGCTGGAGGTTGTATTAATGCCTTGGACACGCAAACATTTTGGCCGGAGACCTTGTACATTCCAACAGGACTCAGTAACATCGCACTCAGCACGCGCCACCCAAAAATGGTTACAAAATGAGGTTCCTCGCTTCATTTCCAGAGCACAATGGCCACCAAAATCTCCGGATACCAATCCGTTGGACTATTGTGTCTGGAGTATTTTGGAAAGCAAGGTTGGCACAAAAAAATACCAAGGTGTCGAACACCTCAAGCAAGCGCTTCGCCGGAAATGGGCCAAAATACCGCATAGCAACATTCGGGCAGGGTGTGACGTTTTCATTGGCCGTTTGAAGGCCATAATTCGTGCCAAAGTTGACCAATTCGAACAAATCTAAACTTATTTTAGAATTTGATGCTATTTCCAACCTTTTTTGCTTTCATTCAAAAAAATTAAAAAAAATGTAAAAATTATGGGGTTTGACTTTGTTGCAATTTTTTTATCTCACCCTGTATTTTTACATCCAAAATTTTTAATTTTCGACCACAAAAAATGTTGACCTTGCCCATTACCATAGCAAAATATTCACCTGATAATTTATTCAATTTCATATTTTCTCTTTATATTTTTTTTACTAATTTTTTCCGAAAAGCTCCATTGAGCCTTTTTAAACTTTTATCATAAAAACAATAAATTTATTTAATAAATTCCAAATTTCATTTTTTTTCTCCCCCCAGGGTGTAATACATCGTGACATAAAATCCGACTCAATTCTCTTGGCAGCTGATGGGCGTGTTAAATTGTCTGATTTCGGTTTCTGTGCTCAAGTCTCACAGGAATTGCCGAAACGTAAATCTTTGGTGGGTACACCGTATTGGATGTCACCGGAAGTTATATCGCGTTTGCCCTATGGACCTGAGGTTGATATTTGGTCATTGGGCATAATGGTCATCGAAATGGTAGATGGCGAACCGCCATTCTTTAATGAGCCACCACTGCAAGCAATGCGTCGCATACGTGATATGCAACCACCAAATTTGAAGAATGCCCACAAGGTTTCGCCACGTCTTCAATCGTTTTTGGATCGTATGCTGGTGCGTGACCCAGCCCAAAGAGCAACGGCAGCTGAGTTGTTGGCCCACCCGTTCTTAAGGCAGGCGGGGCCACCATCTCTGTTGGTACCACTGATGCGTAATTCACGGCAGCATTAAATTAAGTTTTAGAGTTTCGCTGGGAATTTTAAAATTTCAACATGGATACTTAATATGGCCAATTTGGGCAAAAAATCCACATTCCCCCACCCCCTCTCCACAGATCCTTACAAAAAAGTATTGTTATTTTACCCGAAATGTATTTATATTGGCAGTACTACTAACTATTTTTTTCATTATTCAATGTTATAACATTTTGTTTATTTTAAAAAAATATATATACTTTTTTTTTAATTTATGATTTTATATGGCATTTATATGTTTAGTTTTTTTTTTTTATTATTTTATATAAGTATGTGTATTTTAATTTTATTATTACATATTTTAAGTGCCGTTTAAATACAAAAAAAGCAAGCATGAAATTAAAAATACAGTCAAAACTTAAAGCCAATCACCCTACCCATATTTATATACATATATATTATACATGTAACTAATTTCCAGTAAATGGCAACAATAAGCAAGCTATATTATAGGAATTAAAATTATATATACATTAAATTAAAAAAAAAAGACGAAGTGCCTTTATATTAGTGACACTTTTTTATTACCATCCAAGGCTCATATCAACAACGAAATATTCGTAAAAAACACACTCATTTAAAGATTTATCATTTCATATTTTAGTAGTCCCAAATTTTAAAAAGAAACATTCCTCGAATGAACGAATTTCTGTTTTTTTATTAAATAAACTAAAAATCTATACATATATCTTTTTTAAAATAAAACATTAAAAAAATAAAAAAATTAATAAAACATTCCCAATGAAATGCAAAACAATGCCTTTTATAACAAAAAATAAATAAGTAAAAAAGAAAAACACTATTGGCTTTAAAATGTGTTACCACTTGTTTAACGTTAACAACCAAGCTCTGTCGAAATGAGAACAAAAAAAAAAACAAAATAAATTCCATTTTATGTATTTTTATGTACATCATGTTTATTTCTTGCTTAAGAATAAAAAATATTGTCTATATATTATAAAGAAATAAATAAAATTTTAAGAATATTATCTGGTATTGATGTTTTTTTTTTTAATTGCGACCACTCAGCAGCGTTTGGGTATGTACTGAGGGTGATTTGTGTTTTGCGTAGACTTAAGTAGGACACCGATGGTATGACTCTGGTGAATCCTAGGAAGTCCTTTGTGTCAATCCTAGGAAGAAATGAAAAATTTGGGGATAAAAAAGATATAGAAGCGAGAAGAAGAAAATATTCTTAGTTCGAACCTATTAAGTGATATAAAGGAACTTTTTTATGTCCTTGATATTACTAAGGCCATCTGGCCAGCCTCAGATACAAACCCTGTAGCCGGTTTCGAAGTGGTACGCCACAATTTTTAGCTGTTTTTTTTAAATTTGTTAAATGAAAGCTACAATTTTCGAAAATATCATCAAATTTTAGAATAAGTTTAGATTTGTTCAAATTGGTCACCTTTGGCACGAATTATGGCCTTCAAACGGCCAATGAAACCGTCAAACGCTCCCCGAATGTTTCTCTGCGGTATTTTGGCCCATTCCCGGTGAAGCGCTTGCTTGAGATGATCGACACTTTGGTATTTTTTAGTGCCAACTTTGCATTCCAAAATACTCCAGACACAATAGTAAAACGGATTGGTATCCAAAGATTTTGGTGGCCATTATGCGCTGGAAATGAAGCGGTCATTTTAGTAACCATTCTTGGGTGGCGCATGCTGAGTCTTCTTGGAATGTCCGAAGTCTGCGGCCAAAATGTTTGCGTGCCCAAGGCTTTAATACACCCTCCAGAATATTTTCGCAATAATATTCGGCATTTATTTTGATGCCACGGTCGACCTCTTTGGCAAGTAAGCACGATAATTTTGTTTGTTTGCAAACTGCTGGACAACGAGCGTTTTCTCCGATCGGAGAAAACCAAATTCGGCGGTTCACTACTTTCGGCCAAGCGAAGCAACTCTTAAGCTCTTTTGAGTCTATTTTCCTTCTGTCGCGGTGTAAATTCTTGCACTTTTTGGAATTTCAATGGCTCGGGCTTATTTTTCAATATTTGAGGAATATGGCTGAGGGTATAAAAAGACAAGTTTTCAAAAAAGTTCTAAAATAATGTTTTTTTTTTAAACATCACTTTTCAAAATATCCTTAAAATTAACTTTCTCAATAGGAAAAATCCATAAAATGTTTTTTTTTTTCAATAATCCTAAAGGTATAGCAATTTTAAAGTAAAAACATTTTTATATAAAAAACTTATTTTATTAACATTGTTCTTAATATAAAAACATTAACAAACACCCACACAAAAATTAATTCCTTAACACCTCCCTAAACTTATTTCTGCTTAGCCAATCGAATGTTTTGTTGAAGTTTTTGCAAACAGCCACGTATTCGATTATCTTCGCCAGCGCCTCGCTTTTGTTCAACAATTTGGATTTCCTCCATTAGAAAGGGTAAAATATCTTCGACAACTTCGTAGGATATTGAGCATAGCTTTGTCAGCAACTCAAAATAGAAAAAGGTATAATACGATAGATGTTTCTTGGTTAACAGGCGCAGGTGCTCCCTTATCAAATCCTTGAGAGCTATTGACTTTTGATAAACAGGACTGTTGAAAATCCTCTTGAACAGCTCCAAAAGCAATGGACGACTAGGTACAATTTCATCTACCATCATAATGTGTTCCAATGTGGCAAAACTGCAACCCTTGAGAAAGGTTTGTAAACGTCTAACGGCATTTTCATCATCATCCTCATTGTTGCTGGAAATGGCATCAACCACCTCCTGATAAATGGTAATTACCAAACAAGCATTAGGATCAGCCTGTCGACGTTGGGTAGATAAAAACAAGGCAGTCAGCTTTTCAAAAACAAACAAGGAAATATCCTGGTTATCGCTTTGTAGACAATTTATAAATGGTCTTGCAACCTGTCTGGCATTGGTGGAGATTTTAAAGTGAGGTGTCCATTTTTGTATTAAATCGCTTAGTGTTTTTGTAATATAGGGATCCGATTTGAAATTTAAACGACCAATACCCTGCACTAAGACAGGCCAAATTTTGTGTACAAGTTGAGCTAGCTTGCCCTCGGGTGGTTTACCCATTTGTATGCTGGTGGGTAATATGTAACGTGTAAATGCCACATGAAAGAAACAAGTTATTTTCGATTTACTATAAACAATGGAGGGACAATTAAATATCACAATAGCAATGAAACTATAAAATCGAAAAGTTACTTCCGATTTTTCCAATTTCAAATCGCTGTTTAACCATTTTTCAAAATTTCTGATGTAGGCATTAAAGTTATTGGCAATTGTTGATCGTTTGCTATGGTCTGTGGTGGCATCATATGTTTTACCCACCGAAGCAATGAATATACACAATGGTTCCTTTGCCTTCAAGAGATCATCTTCATCCTTGATATTTGTCATAAAGGCAAATTCTGATAGTTTTACCACAATTTTCGAAAGTTTTAAAACATCTTCATTGTTGGCCGTCAATAGTACAAGACTTCTTAGCCACACCTGCATGATGATTGTGTGATCGACCAAGGCTTTCCGTTCGGATTCCAGCACATGTAGTACAAATTGTGTGACAGCATAACGATTGGAGGTTTGTTGTTCACTAAAGTAGCTGAAGAGTTTTTGAAAATTTTGTGTGTCTGTTACAGCAAAGGAATGGGCACAAAAGTCCGAAGCTAAAATCGGCAGCCAGTGACTGAAACTATTTACATATTGCTGTTTGATAAATGGCAGTATTGAGGTGTTTAGCGCCCTCATCAGATCATTATTGATTTCAAGAAAATGTTGTTCACAATTATGTATTTTTACAAACATCATGTGCAGCGCTTCCAATGTACGTTCCTGCTCAACTGGTGTACAATTATTCAAAAAATTCGGTATCCAGGAACCCACCAACAGGCTTTCGCCGCGTTGAAAGGTATCGGCGTGGTCAAATATATCCAACAGGCTATCGGCAATTATTTTTGACACTGCCAAATCGTTGCGTATGGCGGATAATTGTTGTAATACCTTGGTTATATAGTCTGTCAAGTCGTATTGATGTTCAGCATACAGTATCCACAATGCCATGTGACCCTTGGTCACAGCCACTTGCTTGGGACCAGTTATTTTATCAAGGCCTATGGAGAGAAGTTTGTCCTTTAGCTTTCCCGACAGATCGTTGAAATCTCCGCACAAGGCCAACACCAGGAAAAGTTCTATCAAATGATGAATGCCCGTTTCATTGAGTGCCAAAAACTTTTGGGCACTAAACTTGGTGTAAATGCGGCCCAATAACTTCTGGGCCTGATGTTGGGCATGACCGGCTAACAATCTTTGCAAAGTTTTGCCCATTAGTAAAACAAATAATGTATAGCTGCTGAGATTTGCATCGGGGGGTTTAGACAAAAGGTTACGATATTTATCCACATAGGCCCGACCACTGACACAGGCCACAGCCAAATTCGATGGCGCCGAACCAGCAATGAAGAAAGATGAATTTAATTTCTTGTGAAAATGTTCCCACAACACCATTGCAATATTCACTTTTGGTGGCCACCATTCAAGTAAAATCGGCGTTTGTATGCCAATGTAAATGCGTAGCTGCTCTTCGCTGGGATTTGCATTGAGAAATTGTTGAGTTATACGTTCACAAAACTCATAATTTTGGGCATCTTCATTAGTTGCCCTGGTGTAATTGGCACCCTCATATTGGCCATTGGAACGATAACCATGTAGGCGTACGAGAGCGTATTGTATCCAATTGTAGAATTCACAATAGCTAAGGGGGGTCAAGCCAAGATTTTCTGCGTTAAATATATATTCGATCAATTTTGTTATTCCATTAAAATAAGAAATATACAACTACTCACCCATATTGCCCTTAATTTTTTGCATTGCCTTGTTAAATGTACTCCAGAAAGTCAATGTCTCCCCATCGGGAAACTTCAAATGCCATTTTTCTATGGCAAATTGCATTAGAAGCCACATTTCCTTGATACAAGTACATGGAAATGGAGAGGTAAATAACAGTTCCGGACTACGTTTCTTTGCAAATAGATATATGGAACATGTCAAGAGGATGTCAAAGATATTTTCAATTTGTTCGATTAGAACATTGCAAGTTGTTTCCTTTTTCTCGTCATCAGCTATACCATCAGTATTATCCGGGTTTGATGAGTCGTATTTTTGTAAAATACATAAATCTAAAAATTTCCATTCCAAAAGTCCATGGAGTAAATGATATGCTGGAATATTACACTCGTTGCCCTTGCAGCTGTTGGCAAAATAAATACTCTTCAATACATCAACTTGCACGCAATTGTTGAGCAAAGCTCTAAGCCTACACAGGTGCGGTTGCAAAAATTCCCACTGCTCTGAATGGGTGCTTTGGAGGACAATATGTAATAGCATTGTTACGTGGCGCCTTCTGAGATAGTAAGATTGTTCGTTCTGGTTCCCAACAGCACCTTGTAAACTTGCCAACATATATTGGATATTCATGCTGCAAAATCTGAATTATATTTTAAATTTGACAATGTATTGATTTAAGTTACCTACCATGCTTCTCCGAATAAATATGTATTCACTGCTCCACTATTCATATTTGCCTTTTGAAAATCATACTTCGTTAAAGTAGCCTCCTCAATAGCTTTATTTCGGGCATTAGAATAACTTTGGAAAAATACATTTTTAACAAAACTTTCACTGGAGAATTGAGAATTCATTGAGTCCTCTCCCGTGCAATGGAATTCAGGAATGGTCTCAGTAACACCGCCACAATCATTGGGGATTTGTGTGGGCTCAATATTAACGACGGACAAGATGTCATCATCTTCATCCGGTTCAAACAAATCAAAATCCATTTTTGAAATGAGGTTTTAGCAATTTATATATTCTACTATGTACCGGCAGGTCCTGGGCGAAACTCAGCGCCACACATGTACTGTATTGTAAAATTTTTACTAGACTGTTGATATACTGAAGCAAGCTAAATTTGAAAAAAAAATATAATTACATCGACTTTCTGTTCTCAATTTTCAGCACACATTTAAGAAATTAATTCATTTTATTTAGTTGCCATTACATTTTTATATGTTTATTGGACTTTAATAGAAATAATATGGTTTTTATTCAATGTTTACGTCTGTTGTATCAATTCAACAAATTCAAGACGATGGTTTGTTTTATAGCGGGAATGAAAACACAAAGCCTTGTTGTTGCTACGCCGTTAGTTAAAATTGGGATCTACAAATCGATATTTGACATCAGGCAGATAAAATGTTAACTGGTACGATAACAGAAGGTGGATTAAAACAATCTCCTTGCCTTCAAAGTCTGTCCTTAACTGGTACAATAACAGAAGGCAGAATAAAGCCATCTCCTAGCTTTCAGTCTGTCCTTTCCTGTCAAAAATATATATATTGGTCTGTTCCAGAACTAGAGAGATGAACATTTTTAGAAGTGCAGTTGTAAAATTTAGAAGATTTTCCAAAAGAATTTTAGTTTAATTTAATTTTTTGGTTCCCCTTCTATTGAGCTTACAATCCCGTCACTTGGTTAAAAAAACTTTTTTTGTCATAGGAGTTATTTTTAAAATAAATATCCCAGACAAAAGGGGGAACTGATGAAGATTGGTTGCTCTTTCCGATACCTTGGTATTCCCTGCCTTACCTCTCGGTAAACATTACCATCTTTCTTCACAAATAAACGTTATTTTTATAAAAACAACAATAATAGGACGAAGCAAAAAAAAATACAACGGTTTCCCGAACAGACATGCCAATATTGTAAATGTAAAAATGTAAAATAAACAAAACCGATTGTTGCACGTCTGTTCTTTGGAGTTGAGCCATGCCAGAAGGAACAAGTTTTATAACCGATTTTTTCCTTATGGTTGTTCTGTTCAAGCATTTGCTGGAACAAAGCAACCGTAAAGGCGTAAGTACATAAAAAGCTTGAAGACATGGCTAGGCATATTCATAAAGGAATTACAGAGCCGCACTAAAGCTGGGAATACATAAAGCGCTTATTTGGCTGGCTTAAGTCATCGCCTGGCTTCTTCGGAAATGAACAAAGGAGCCTAGGGCCAAAATCGAACTAAGTCAACCTAAACCTCCTTTGTTCATTTCCGAAGAAGCCAGCCGATGACTTAAGCCAGCCAGATAAGCGCTTTATGTATTTCCAGCTTAAAGACTTGGCGATTCACCCCTGCAATTTAGGAATATCTGTTGTATTTAACCTGAAATTTAAACCTGTGCGAACTATCGTCTTAGCAACTAATTTTGACATATCAGATTAAAAAAACTGTTTGATCGTGGCAATTCGCCGTACTTTTAGTTATCAAACAAAAATCGATTTGCTGATCTCTACTTACTGTAATGAACGGCGTCACAACAACAAGGCTTTGTGTTTTCATTCCCGCTAAAAACATCTTTTGCAAACCATCATCTTGATCTTGTACAACAACAAATATAAACATTTTGTTGAATAAAAACCATATTTTTCTTAACAAAAACAATATAAAATGATACAAAAAATGTGAAGACAAAGAAATAAAAGTGAATTAGATTTTGACAAATGTCCAATTAATTGAGAAAAGAAAACCGATCTGAAACACAGTGAATTTGATAAAAAAAAAACACATAAAGAGAGCAAACCCAAGAACTCATTGGCCCCCCAGGAAAAAATAATGTTCGTTCAAGATCTTAGAGAATTTTATAGTCGCCTAATTGGCAAAAGGATTTTGATAATCGTCAACTATGACATTGATGCTATATGTGCCAGTAAAATTCTGCAGTCCCTTTTCAAATATGACCATATGCTCTATTCGGTGGTGCCCATAATGGGTTTGGCTGGCCTGCAGAGGGCCTACAACGAACACCAGGGCGATGTTAAATTTGTGTTGTTATTAAACTGTGGAGGATGTGTTGACATTGTGGAGCTTCTGCAGCCCGAAGAAGATGTAACATTCTTTATCTGTGATTCGCATCGTCCCTTGGATGTGTGTAATATATACAGTGATCGCCAGGTGAGAATTCGCACAAGCGTGTTTGTGTGTGGGGCGCGTTGAGTGTATTGAGGTTTTTGCTGTTGTAATAGTTCTGTAGGGAAATGAATATTTTCTGCTTTTGTTTCTATGTGAGTTGCGAATACATGCTGTTTTAATTGTTTTACTTCTGCCTCGGTCCAAGTCTACTTTCCCCCAAAAAAGGTTTAATTTTGTAGATATTCTATATGATTTTATTTTTTTACTTTTATTTAATGTTCTATTTTCGATTTCTAGGTATGCATTTTGGGTGATCCATCCGCCGAAGAAAACATACCACCATTTGAATCAATTTTCTGTGAATCCGAAGATGAGGACGAAGAAGATGACGATGAAGACGAAGATGAAATAAACGATAGTGGTGCCGGAGAATCTGATGCCGAAAACGAAGATGGCAACAATCGTGCCGAACGTCCTAAGAAACTTAGCCGTATGGAAAAACATGAACAGCGCATATTAAAACAACGCCAACGCCGTGCATGGGAAAATGAACGTGATCGCATAATGTTTGAATATACCCAATACAGTTTCTATGGTCGTTCATCGGCCCTGGCCATATTCGAATTGGCTTGGAAACTGTCCAAAGACAACATGGACTTGCTGTGGTGGGCCATTGTTGGCATAACCGAACAATTGATATTGGGTAAAATTGAAAGTAGTGCCTATACGCTGGAAATAGACAACATACAGTCACATGTTTCGCGTTTGACCAACAAAGTCAATGATCAAAGCAATATGAGCGCCTCGAAAATAAACTTTGAGAATGATTTGCATTTGGTCCTATATCGTCATTGGAGTGTTACGGAATCGATGCGTTATTCAATGTATGTGGCTTGCAAGCTAAAGCTGTGGACATTGAAGGGTGAGAAGAAATTGCACGAATTGTTGGTTGAAATGGGCTTGCCGTTGATACATGCCCGACAAACATTTAGTTCCATGGATTTGGTATTGCGACAAGAATTCTACTCCATGGTGGATGGGTTGGCAGAAAAATACGGTATACCCGATGTTATTTATGGCTCATTTACCCTACATTATGGTTATCGTAATCGTTATTCGGCAGCCGATTATGTGTATGCCTTGTTGTCCATATTGGAGTCGGTGAAAAAGGATAAGACACCAGAAGACTGTTTTCTAGAGGCCCTGGACGGCTTGGGTCGCAATCACAAGGATATTCTGAATGCTGGCATTGAGGGTTCCAAGCAGTTGCATCAAGCCATATTTAAACAAGTACAAAGTAGTTTAGAGGCGCATCAAGTCCATTCGACAGGATCATTTTTCTATTACATACTCAACGAGGAAAATACATTCTTCTCCTATCCTTATGGTTTGTCAATGCTGGCCAAATTTCTCTTGCATGGTCATGTGGCTGTGTCACGTAGTCGCCAGGCCCCCGACTTACCCCTGATAGCCAGCTGTCCCATTGATGCAGAACATGGTCTGTGCCTATTGGTTGGTATACCACCGGTACGAGAGGATTCACCAAAGAATTTCTTTGGCAAGGCATTTGAACAGGCGGCCCAGAAATGTAATGCCGCCATTTTACAGGATCATTTTGAATCGTCCCTCATACAGATAAGGCAAAACGATTTAACACGATTTCTGGATGCGTTGACCGTGCTGCTAACATAGTTTCGAATTAAGTTTGCTATATTTTTTTAAGTCGATGATTAAGGATAGGATATAATTATGTTATTGTTTTTGGCTTGAGCTTCTAAACCTAGTTGTTAGATATTTATGTATTCCATTTTCTTCATGTGTCTTAAGCAAAAATTTACATAGACTTAACAATAATTAATATTTAAATATCATTTAAGTGTTGGTCTGTTATAAAAGAATTTCTCCATAATATCAATGTGTTAGGACTCTGAAACTATTACTCTGTTTAGGTTTACAAAAACAAAATTAAAAAAAGATTTGAATAATTTTAGTTTAAACGAATTGTACTACGATTGGACAGACAGACACATGCTATATTAAAAAAGAAATTGTTCAAATATTTAGGACTTCAATTTACAAAAGAAAAAAAAACACTAAATATAACAAATTAGGGTTTAAGTTTTATTAATGTTAAAAAAAAAACACAAAATATTATTTTCACACATCAACAAAATACACCAAAACACATGTTTACAAATATCATTATCTCATCAGAAATTTTGTTTTTTTTATTTTCAACAATTGTCCTTGGACTATCTGGAAAGATATGGGACATGGAATTTGCAATTTTCAAGGAAATCAAGTCAGTCTAAAAAGGAGCATTTTAAGGCAAGTAGGAAATATACTTGTCGTCTGCTGTCAATCAAATTGATTGGCAAAAATTCCGCTTATACAGGGTGATATAAAAAAAAAAAACGGAAACAAAGTTAAACGCCATCATTTGTATTTTTTTTTTTTTTGTTAAATTTTATTGAATGAAAGCGAAAAAATGTCGGAAATAGCATCAAATTTTAGAATAAGTTTATATTTGTTCGAATTGGTCACCTTTGACCATTGTGCCTGTAAATGAAGCGAGGAACCTCATTTTTTAACCATTCTTGGGTGGCGCGTGCTGAGTGCGATGCTGCTTCAAACGGCCAATGAAACCCAGTCACACGCTGCCTGCGCGAATGTTGCTCTGCGGTATTTTGGCCCATTCCCGGTGAAGCGCTTAGTGCCAACCTTAATTTCCAAAATACTCCAGAGACAATGGTCCAACGGATTGGTATCCGGAGATTTTGGTGGCTATTGTGCGCTGGAAATTAGGCGAAGAACCTCATTTTGTAATCATTCTTGGGTGGCGCGTGCTGAGTGCTATGGTGCTGAGTCCTGTTGGAAGACCAAGGTCTGCTGCCAAAATGATTGCGTGCCCAAGGCTTTAATAAACCCTCCAGAATATTTTCGGCTATTCTGATGCCACGGTCGATTAATGCAGTACCTGCTTGGGTGTTACCGCGAGAGTCATCCCAATCATCATATGGTGGAAAAATCTCCCCCACCAAGGCGTGTCAGGAAGGACATACATGATCTAAAGAGGGAGGTCCAACGCTACAAGAGAGAACCTCTAGATCAAGAAGCCTATCAGGCAGCTCTGAGTGACATTCATACCAATGCAGTCGCAGATGCTATTAGCAATTATAAAATGAATGGCGTCCTCGGATTCCACCCCGCCATCCATTGCAGCTGAAGAACGTCAGCTGCCTAGACAAACCAGGGTAGTTTTGGCGCAATTACGTTCAGGAAGGTGCAGTCGTCTCAATTCGTATTGGGCACGAATTGATAAAGATGTGCGTGACGCCTGCCCGGCGTGTGTTGCAGGCCCGCACAATACGCTGCACCTCTTTAATTGCGCCGCCAAACCTACCCAACTCACTCCAGAAGATCTCTGGCTACAGTCCATTAAAGTAGCCGAATTTCTAAACTTGGAGCTGGAACCAGATTAGCAGAATGCAAACACCTACATGTGCACATTTTCAGCTGACCTCCTTGGCAAGTAACACGATCATTTTGTGTTTTTTTTTTTTACATTTCGATGGCTTTACCCCGAGCTCAGTTTGCAATATTTGCCGAATGGAATATTGCGCTATGTTCATATCACGAGCCATTTTTCGGCCACTGCGACAATCTATTACAAAATTATTTCTATTTGAGCCTTGAAGAAACAAAAAAATAATATTCTCAAAAAATAATATCCCGTTTAATTTGAATATTTTGTAACCACAGCAAACAAAAACAAATTTTTTAAAATTAGTCTAATTTATTTATTTTTTTTTTTAAATTTTAATAACAGCCTCCTCCAGCCTGTGTCATGAATTTTCCAAAATATTTTTTAAATTTTCCACTCGTTTGTGGTCACTATCGTTTATGGCTTCCACAATTCGCGCAGAACCCAAACATTCGGTATCACTATAGAACACAGCATATTGGCCGGGTGTGACAGCTCTCAAAGGTTTGTCTAGCATTACAATAACATCAGTCTTATTATTAGGCGATTTTCTATAAATTGTACAATCCACCAGAGGTTTTGTGTGTTGAAAACGAAATCTACATCTTAAAGGAGGAGAATTTGGCATGTCAAAAGGATTTTCGCAACACAACCAATTAATGTTAGTGGCAAAAATTTGATTTGAATAAAGGCTAGGATGTTCATGGCCATAGGCAACATAAATTGTGTTGGTTGCGACGTCTTTTTGGGCTACATAATAGGGTTTACGAAACGATTTTAAACGGCAACGTTGGCCCACTGTCCATTGGTGTATGCCCTCGTGATGACCCACAACCATATTGCTATCAATATCCACAAAATCTCCGGGCTTTGAGGCAATGTACTGCAACAAAATATAAATAAATCATGGATGGTAATGGAATACAGGGTGAGATGAAAAAACTGCAACCAACTTCAGACTGCTGTCATTTCTAAGCCACTCGTCCGACAGCTGTTAAAATTATTCCAGTGACAGCTCATTATGTTGTTTAAAAGCGTATAAAAGCAAAAGCATTTTGGTGAGAATTTTCCAGAAAAAAAGTTATTCGTGATGGAATTCCAGCGTGATATATTTATATTTGGCTGGAAAACCCCAAGTGGCTATCGTTAGAGCACTCCAGCATTTAAATCTTTTGTGTCTCGTACCATCGTAAAAATTATGGCGTTAGACTTTGTTGCAGTTTTCGTATCTCACCCTGTATAAATCTCAATTTGATGAGGAAAATTCCAATAATCCATAATTCTTATCGAAATATTTATCTGTTTACCTCCTTAATAAATTCCTTAAAATCGCGATTACCCACAAAACAAATGCCCGTACTTTCTTTTTTCTGTGTCAATCTTTCCAGGCCACAGCTCTTGGCTATTTCCTTGACTTCAGACTTCAAATAGTTTCCCAGGGGAAACATGGTCCTTCTTAAAGTTTCACGTCGAATACCCGAAAGAAAGAATGTCTGATCTTTAAATGTGTCTTTCGGTATGAGTAGATGGACATCTAAGATAAAAGTTATTAGAATATATGAAATTGCTACCTCATTTATATTTCAACGAACCTTTGCTTTCTTCATAATTCTCCAGAAAAGGACCAAAATTTGTCTTGGCATAATGTCCAGTGGCAATGGCATCATATCCCAGTCGCTCCAAAGCATGTTTATGGAATAAATCAAATTTTATGTGTTTATTACACAAAATGTCCGGATTGGGGGTCAAGCCTCGCTCATAGTCTTCCAAGAAGTTACTTAATTTACAAAGAAAAACTTATTTAAATCTGTGAATTCTGAATTTCCTTTTCCCAAACTTACGTAAACACTGAATTCCAATACTCTTTCACATAGTTCACCTGTCGCAGTTCAATACCTAACTTGTTGCAGGTATATTCAGCATCCAATAGATCTTGTTCGCCCGAACATCTTCCCATTTCATCAAATTCATCCCAGTTTTTCATAAAGACTCCCAGTACCTTGTAACCTGAAAGTACAATGTAACCAAGATGAAACTAGTGTGTCCCCAACCTAGAAAGGTAAGTTAAAATATGTTTAATCAATGAAAGAATGCAGATGACCACTTATCCTCGCATCTATTACCATTTTCCTTTAAAAGGAAGGCACTGACTGCACTGTCAACGCCACCTGATATGCCCACTACGACTTTCTTGAACATTTGAACATCGGTTGTCCGGCCTCCAATAAGAAAAGAGAAAACAAAAACAAAGGGGTAATGCGTGATAAAGACAAATAATCAAAACAAAACTAATAATAACTTGGTTTATTTTGTGAAAGTGAGTGGATGATTAGCACGCATTTCTGAAGTTGAGAGATATCAGTTTTTATTATTCTAAGATTATTTTAAATTTATTTTCAAAATTTTTAAAAATCCTCCTTTAAATTGTCTTAACAAATCCAAGATTTCGTTCAGGGGTTCTTTAAAATATTATTATTTATTCTCAGTTTTTATTTACGAGTGTGATGGTTAGTAGGGTTTTAGAGATCACATATTTTAAGGTATCGTTTTCGATTTGTAGAGCCCTATAGTCACTCAGAGTTGGGTGTGTCACATTATGGTCATGGTGGCCATTCCAATATGAATAATTTACAAAATGGAATTGCGTGATAAACGAAAATCCTAACGCTTATTAAAGGGTTCTAGAAACACCAGGCAAAATGTAAACAAAGAACATATGTTTTAACAACTATTTAAAGAATGATTTCTTTATTACGACTGTCAACGCCACCTGATATGCCCACTACGACTTTCTTGAACATTTGAACATCGGTTGTCCGGCCTCCAATAAGAAAAGAGAAAACAAAAACAAAGGGGTAATGCGTGATAAAGACAAATAATCAAAACAAAACTAATAATAACTTGGTTTATTTTGTGAAAGTGAGTGGATGATTAGCACGCATTTCTGAAGTTGAGAGATATCAGTTTTTATTATTCTAAGATTATTTTAAATTTATTTTCAAAATTTTTAAAAATCCTCCTTTAAATTGTCTTAACAAATCCAAGATTTCGTTCAGGGGTTCTTTAAAATATTAGTTGTGTTCCAGTACTTTTTTAGTAGTAAAACTAGCAGAAGAGAGAACAGTTCGAAATGTCATTCTCATTTAGGTTTGCTCAAAAAATAAGGGAACGGAAAATTAGCAGAAATGCGATAAAATGCCAAAATTCCAAAAGTAAGCAGCCTAAAACGGACTGGTGAAACCTTACTGAAAAGAGCGCCAACATTTAAAAAATGAGTATTGAAGACGATAAGTTAAAATTAATAATTTATAATAATAATTAATAATCTGATTCCTCATTCAGCCAGTCCTCTTCACTGCTGGAATCATCCAAAAGTGAATACATCAGTTGCTCCATATTTTCTCTTTTTGTTTTTTGCACGACAAATATTAGTTTTTCCTTTAGTTTTCAAGTTGATCATTTTCTTTATTGAAATGTATCAATACATTTTTCAACCTTGTTAGCCCTGCCAATTAAATGTCAAATTTACAATATGCACATTTCTGCTCAGCCAAATTCATGTAGCTAAAACAAGCAGAAATGTGCACCACTCAGCGCCATTTTTTTCTCGAGAGAGCTGCAAGTTTTGCTAGTTTTTGGAGTACGGGAACGCGTTGTAGCAGAATTAGTGCTAATTAGTACTAATTTGCAGGTTCTGGAACACAACTATTATTATTTATTCTCAGTTTTTATTTACGAGTGTGATGGTTAGTAGGGTTTTAGAGATCACATATTTTAAGGTATCGTTTTCGATTTGTAGAGCCCTATAGTCACTCAGGGTTGGGTGTGTCAAATTATGGTCATGGTGGCCATTCCAATATGAATAATTTACAAAATGGAATTGCGTGATAAACGAAAATCCTAACGCTTATTAAAGGGTTCTAGAAACACCAGGCAAAATGTAAACAAAGAACATATGTTTTAACAACTATTTAAAGAATGATTTCTTTATTACGACGTTAAGGTGGGAATACATAAAGCGCTTATTTGGCTGGCTTAAGTCATCGGCTAGCTTCTTCGTAGAGGAACAAAGGAGTTTTAGTTTCAAAATTAAGAAGGTAAAGTCATATCAAAAAAGCATTCCCATCTCTCCATTTTCTGAAATTTACCTTGTCACATATCACTCCATAAAAACAAGTTCCCATCTTTGATTTGTGTATGTATAAATACAAATTTTTGATTAATAAATAATAATATTATTTATTTTTGAAAAAAAAATTAAACATGACTTTTCCTCCTTGATTCTACCATGGGAAGAACTAAGAAATATAAAAATTTGTACTAAAAAAGACTTAGGCCGACAATGTCCTGTATTATATTGAATGTCAAATTGACAGGAATATCGGGATGACAATTTTCTACCAGTATATTCTGTTTTATATTTTATTCTTTCTTGATGAAATGAATTTGTCGACAGTTATACGTACATAAATAAGGAAGATCTTAAAAAATACAATCTTGACAACGAAGGAGCATCAAATTATAGAATTGTAATAATTTCGTTTTTCTTTACTATTTGTTTCTAATATTTAAAATTATTAACATTTGGTTGAACAATACATCTATAATAAAGATAATGGATAAGAACACGTTTAGATTACTAAATCTACTCAATTTCAAATGTCAATTCCATAGCGTATATCATGGTAAAATAATACCGGTAGATGCATCAACGCTTGGGAACATTGATATGTCAAGAATGTTAAATGTTTCTTCAAAAATACGTAGATCTGTATATGTTTTGCTATAGACACCAATCGGAGATTGTTATGATATGCATTTTTAACAATTTTTTCAAATTTGAATAATTTTTCATTTAAAAATTTCAATTCCAAATTTTGTTTGACAGTTCATTGTCCCAGCAGCTGTGTCGATGCGTGTACCTACATTCTTCTACCAGGGCGTATACATCACATAAATCATCTTGATAAATCCAGTGGATATTTTTGACGTATACCCTATGGAATTGACATTTGAAATCTGTGTGGATTTCGTAAATCTAAACGTACTTTAAGACACTAAAACTACCTTTAAAAGTGGCACCTCTATGCCGGTTGACAGTCTAAATGACCTGTTTGTATGAACATGCTATGTATATTGAATAACTTTGCTGCAATATTTGTAACACACATGGTAGAACTAAGAAGGTAAAGTCATGCAATCATATGTTTACAATTTTTTTTTTCAAATTTTTTACCTTTGACAACATCTCATTGTCAAAATCTATATTCATCAATCCATTGGATACACACAAAATCAGAGATGGGAACTATTTTCTATGCAGTGAAATTTGACAAGGTAAATTAAAGAAAATGCAGATATGGGAATGTTTATTTAAAATGAGGTTACCTTCATTTCATTCTACAATGGTAACACATCTCCCATCTCTGTTACTACCCACCCTTTGTGAATGTTACTCACTCACACGTAAATATTTGTGTATGTCTGTGACTGGGATGTAGAGTTGTGACCTATATTTTTCCAATGCACTGACTGTGAAAACAAATCCTGGAACTTGCAATTTTAAAGAGAGCCTTGCATTTACCTCACCTTGTATGCCTCCCAATATCTCTTTGCCCCAAGAAAGTAGTAGCATCATTGTTGTCATTCATTCCTTTTTTATTTATCACAACTGCGCAGATAATAACCCCTCTCAGAGCGAGAGAGAGGGAGAGAAAGTCCAAATAATGCCCACAGAGCTGGATGTGTGTAAACGATGAAAGGACAATGTCAATGGGATGTTGCAGACCGCAGCATCAGTATTATTGAAGCTGTTAATCTTAACACTTGTCTAAAGTCTAATAAAAAGCGCTGCTCTTTTCGGTGATAAACGGAAGTTTTTTAAACGGTTCACAAAAAAGGCATACCAAAAGTAAAGGGAACTTCCTCTTCCCGTAATAAGTAATAAATCCCTGGCGGATTAAAGTGTTGGTTTTTTTCAAAGATTAACAGATATCCATGCACGCACACACATATATAATTCGAACTGTGTGAATTTATTGCACAACCAAAATATAATTGCAGTTGTTCGGTTTTAGCAACCAGTGTTATAAAAAAATTAAAAACATAGTAAAAAAATTATGAACAAAATCATTTTAAAGAATTAAGAAATGTAATTTAAAGAGGAAAAAGTCCCTTTGTAGGACGTCTACATGAATAACACTCTTCATCTCTGATATCGTCTTTAAAACTTTAACAAAACTTTGTTACTGAAACTCGATATATGTTGTATAAACGCCCAAACAAAGCGTATTGTCTTTCATGTTACGTACACATTAAGAACTTGAACATTCGCCTACTGAGTGGAGGGAATCTGTCATTAAAACAATCTTTCGTATACCCAGCATTCCGTTCGATATAAGTGTTACCATACCAGTGAAAGTGTATAAAACTCCAAAAAAACTGCTATCTAGAGGCCCCTTATGATTATGCCATGGAAGAAGAAGACAATGACAATGAACTGTCAAACCGATTTTGAAATTGAAAATGTTGTATAAAAAATTATTGAAATGTATAAAAATTGTTGAGAAATGCAAATCAACATCCGAAGGGCGCCGTATAAGAAAACATAAAAATCTACTTATTTTTGACAAAACAATTTTAAAATTTTGACATCAATATTGCCAAGCGTTGATGCATCTACCTGTATTCTTCTACTAATAATGACTTATTTTTTGTTAATCTCCTTAATTATGTGTCACTGCCGTTTTAATAAAACTCCGTTTAAGGTGAGAATACATAAAATGCTTTTTTTTGACTGACTGAAGGTGAGAATACATAATATGCTTTTCTGACTGGCATAAGTCGTCGGCTGGCTTCTTCGGAAAAGAACAAAGGAGCCTAGGACCCAAAATCGGACTAAGTCAACCTAAAACTCATTGGTTTCTCTACGAAGAAGCCAGCTGATGATTTAAACCAGTCAAAAAAAAGCCTTTTAAGTACTTTCACCTTTAAGTCATCGGCTGTATTCTTCTATAGCTTCTTTGTTCCTCTACGAAGAAGCCAGCCAATGACTTACGTCAGTCAAAAAATCGTCGCTTAGTCGCAAAATAAATAGATTATTTTGGTAAAACGCTTAATTTAAAATTAAAGTCATTTCAAATAAGACCATCCATCTCTGTACTTTTTGTAATTTATATTGTCAATTTTACGGAATAAAACCAGGTTCCCATCTCTTATTTCTGTGCATACAATTATTTTATAAATATAAAATTTGACAATGAGATGATGTCAAATGAATAATTTTGAAAAAAATTGTAAACATATGATTGCATGATTTTACCTTCTTAATTCTACCATGGTTACAATTCTTCTTATCATTTTTTAAATAAAAATTATTTTCATATCTAAAATAATAAATAGTCTCTTGCTTTCGAAGTTCCCATGATAAAATTAATAAGGTAAAGTCATTTCAAATAAGCATTCCCAACTTTGCATTTTCTGTAATATACTTGTCAAATTTTACTGCATAGAAAGCAGGTTCCCATCTCTGATTTGTGTATGTACAATGGATTTATAAATAAATATTTGGACAATGAGATGTTGTCAAATAATAAATTGCGGAAAAATTGTAAACTTGTGATTGCATGACTTTACCTTCTTTATTCTACCATGGAAGTTCCATGGCACGTACAACAAATTTTTCTCCCATATCTAAGAAAATAATTTTTATTTTTTTGGGCTAAAACATACAAAAGAGATGGTTTAAACCCTTCATCCTGAGTAAACTGTTAAGGTGAGAATACATAAAACGTATTTTTACTAGCTTAAGTCATCGGTTGGCTTCTTTGTAGAGAAACAAAGGAGTTGTAGGTTGACTTAGTTTGATTTGAGCCCTTCACTCCTTTGCTCTTTTCCGAAGAAGTCAGTCGATGACTTAAGCCAGTCAAAAAAGCGTTTTATGTATTCTCACTTTTAGTTCATGTATAGTCTTCGATTGACGTTAAAAAAGCGTTTTATGTATTCTCGCCTTTACTTATTATTTTCCCGTTATCTTCACTATTAAATCCACTCGGTTTCACATCTAAATTCCATAGCGTTTACGGTACGTAACGTGGAAGAAAAATACAGGTAGATGCATCAAGGCTTGGGAACATTAATATGTTAAATTTTTTTTAATGTTTCGTCAAACATAAATAGATTTTTATATGTTTTCTTATACGATGCAAATCGGAGTTTGTTATGATATGCATTTTTTCAACTATTTTTACAAATCTTGCTAGTTTTGCATTTCAAATTTTTGATTTCAAAATTGGTTTGACAGTTCATTGTCCCAGCAGCTGTTTCGATGCGATGATTGGGAGAAACTCAAATTGCGGGGCGAGCATTGATAATATTAACCAGATTTGCCACATAGTTCAAAGATTGAACACTTAGGATCATATTTTTGAGAGAACATCCAGGCATTTCATTCATCTTTCGCGCTATTTGACTCATTTTAGAAATGAACAAAAAATATCAAGTAAATGAAAATAACTTTTTGCCTATAATATTGAATAATTCTGACAGGAAGCGGGCATAGCCTCAGAGCTGTATTTCTGTAGTTTTACGAAGCTGTTATATCTCCTTATTGTACCATGGGTAGACGCATCGACACAGCTGCTGGGAAAATGAACTGTCAAATTAATTTTGGAATTGAAAATGTTGAATAAAAAATTATTTAAATTTGTAAAAAAAAATGTTCAAAAACGCGTATTATAATAACCTCCGAATTACTTCGTATAATAAAACATATACAAATCTACTTATATTTGAAAATAGATTATTTTTTTTTGAAATATCAATGTTCAAATGGGTTGTTGCATCTGCCTGTATTTTTCTACCATGGTAAATATTATGTATTAATATTTGACGTCTACACTAAGGAATTGACATTTGAGATCGAGTGGATTTAGTAAATCTAAACGTACTCTAATATGTTAGTTTTCCAATTTATTTTATATTCTTCCTCGAAAGAGCGTATAAAAGGCGTGAAAATTACAAAGAGCTTTTTTATAAAGACAATTTTTTGTAACAAATTTGGAATGCTTTTACGAGAGATATATGATAAATTCCACCAAATTCTCATCAAATTCAAAAATAAATAAATTTGGTCGAAAATAACTGAAATGGCAACGCTGACCTGTGATATAAACATTTTGCAATGGAGCGTGGGTTAAAGAATTTGCTTTGTGTTTTTTTTTTGTTTAGCTTTTTGTTTTCCTACATTTGCCATATGATGGCTCTCTCACGAAGGGTGGTGTGACTCTCTCCTTGGTTAACCAAAATCACAGAAAACAACACAACACTAACACAGGCACACAAATTAATTAAGTGAGTTTAGGTGTTTGCAATTAGACTGTTTATCGGGTGTGCATGTGCAAACGTGTGTGCGTACGTATGTACAACAAAATACCCAAGCGTCTTATGACGGTTGTGATTTTTCACGTTATCTTCATACGAGTGTGTGTGTTGGTGTAAAGAGAGATATTCATGTAATTTGATAAAGATGAAGTGTTGTTTTCATGTTTTCGTTGCCTTGCCTTGTTCTTGCTGTAACTATAATAGTTAACAATATGATATGAACAGAAATAACAACAGCAAGTGTACAATTAATTACAAGCGTAACATAATATTGTTTATGATTGTGTGTGTGTGCGTGCGTGCAAGTGTGTTCCTCATAAGTGTTTAAGTGATTAATTGACTTATTGTTTGTTATACATTCCTTTTCTATATTGTTCGCTTTCTCGCGATGTTTGTATAACAGCGTTGTTCCGTGGTATTGTATTCAAATTGTATCATCTGGGCTTTGATAAAACGCGACTAAGATAGCGGAAGCTGTTTAACAAAAAACGCCTGTAAGTATGCAATTAATTAAGTGATTTAATTAAGTAATATAAATGCTGCTGATTGGGAATGTGATTTGGGTAGCATGGAAGAGATTTGTAAAAAATTCGAAATTAATAATTCAAAAAAAAAAAAAATAAATAAAATAAATTAATAAATAAATAATAAATAAATAAATAAAAAAATAAGAGTTTTCCGGTTTTCGAAATGATTTTAAGTCAATTAAAAACCTTTACCGAAGATATTTATGATTTAATTAAGTAATATAAATGTCGAAATTAATAATAATAATAATAATAATAATAATAATAATAATAATAATAATAATAATAATAATAATAATAATAATAATAATAATAATAATAATAATAATAATAATAATAATAATAATAATAATAATAATAATAATAATAATAATAATAATAATAATAATAATATAATAATAATAATAAATAATAATAATAATATAATAATAATAATAATAATAATAATAATAATAATAATAATAATAATAATAATAATAATAATAATAATAATAATATAATAATAATAATAATAATAATAATAATAATAATAATAATAATAATAATAATAATAATAATAATAATAATAATAATAATAACTATAATAATAATAATAATAATAAATAAATAAATAAAAATTAAAAAATAAGAGATTTCCGTTCTGTAAAAATCCATTATCGAAGATATTTCCTGAAGAAAACTATTGCTCTCTTCCAGAACTGCAAGAATGTAAATTTTTTACTACGATAACCGATTTTCCCCCTTATAATACCGAAAAAAAATTGAAAAACTAGTAGATTCTTCTGGAACAGAGCCTATATATATTAGAACATTGTTCCGTTCCAGAAATGCAAGAATGTAGAACTTTTTACTACGACAACCGATTTTCCCCCTTATAATACCGAAAAAAATGCAAATTTAGTAGATTCTTCTGGAACAGAGCCTATATATATTAGAACACTGTGAAGTTCCAGAACTGCAAGAATGTACAACTTTTTACTACGATAAACGATTTTCCCTCTTTGATATCGGAGAAAATTGCAAAACTAGTAGTTCCGTGCAGATTCTGGAACAGAGCACATATTTCCTACAATAAAGTGGTGATTATCGAACATATCTTCCTTATTTTAATATGCAGGGTGAGATAAAAAGATTGCAAAAGCCATTATTTTTACATTTTTTTAAATTTTATTGAGTGAAAGCAAATGCCGGAAATATCATCAATTTTTAGAATAAGTTTAGATTTCTTTGAATTGGTCACCTTTGCCATGAATTCTGGCCTTCAAAGGGCCAATGAAACCCAGTCACACGCTGCCTGCCCGAATGTTGCTCTGCGGTATTATGGCCCCCATTCCCGGCGAAGCGCTTGCTTGAGGTGATCGACACTTTGGTATTTGGTTTAGTGCCAACCTTGCTTTCCAAAGTCCTCCAGAGACAATAGTCCAACGGATTGGTATCCGGAGATTTTGGTGGCCGTTGTGCGCTGGAAATGAAGCGAGGATCCTCGTTTTTTAACCATTCTTGGGTGGCGCGTGCTGAGTGCGATGCTGCTTCAAACGGCCAATGAAACCCAGTCACACGCTGCCTGTCCGAATGTTGCTCTGCGGTATTTTCGCCCATTCCCGGTGAAGCGCTTAGTGCCAACCTTGCTTTCCAAAATACTCTAGAGACAATAGTCCAACGGATTGGTATCCGGAGATTTTGGTGGCTATTGTGCACTGGAAATTAGGCGAAGAACCTCATTTTGTAATCATTCTTGGGTGGCGCGTGCTAAGTGTGATGGTGCTGATGAGGTGCTGTTGGAATGTCCAAGGTCTGCGGGCAAAATTTTTGCATGCCCCAGGCTTTAATACACCCTCCAGAATATTTTCACGATAATATTCGGCATTTATTCTAATGCCACGGTCGATTAATACTCAGAGCGAGCATCGGCTGTTATGGCGGCCCACACCATCATCGGTTTGGCCGGCGCTTGAGTTCTGGTTGCCAAACTGCCTCAGCTGACCTCTTTGGCAAGTAAACACGATCATTTTGTTTGTTTACAAACTGCTGGACAACGAATGTTTTCTCGTCGGAGCTCATCGGAGAAAACCAAATTTGGCAGTTCACCACTTTCAGCCAAGCAAAACAACTCTTTAGCTCCTAAGAGTCTATTTTCTTTCTGTTGCGGTGTAGGTTCTTGCATTTTTGGAATTTCAATGGCTTTACAACGAGCTCAGTTTTCAATATTTGCCGAATGGCATATTACGATTTGTTCAGCTCACGAGCCATTTTTCGGCCACTGCGATGAGGTCTCCGATCAAGTCGCTTCTTTACTTTTCGATCCATTTCTGCTGATGTTGCTGTTGATGTTCTTCCGTCCACTTCCTTGACGTCGTCAGGCTACGCTACCAAACGCAGCAACTCTTTAGCTCTTTTGAGTCGTCTATTTTCATTCTGTTGCGGTGTAAGTCCTTGAACTTTTTGGAATTTCAATAGCTTTACCCCGAGCTGATTTTTTAATATTTGCCGAATGTTCAGCTCACGAGCCATTTTTCGGTTATTGCTACGCGGGTTCGCGATCAAGTCGCTTCTTTACTTTTCGAACCATTTCTCCTGATGTTGCTGTTGATTTCTTCCGTCCACTTTCTTGACGTAGTCGGGCTACGCAACCAGTATCACGGTAACGAGCTATGGTACGAGCCTGAAAAGATTTAAATGCTGGAGTGCTTTAACGATAGTCACTTTTGGTGGTTCTCCAGCCAAATATAAAGACATCATACTATCACGCTTGAATTCCGAACACAAATAACTTTTTTTTCTGGAAAATTCTCAGCAAAATGCTTTTGTTCGCTTGTCAACAATATAATGAAGTGTCACTGGAATAATTTTAACAGCTGTCGGATGAGTGGCTTGGACATGACAGCAGTCTCAAGTTTGTTGCAGTTTCTTTATCTCACCCTGTACATTTCCATTAATGACTACCTTGCGCAGAGATGAACATCTTAATTCCCAGTGGATGGTGTATCAGCATAATTTATGACATTTCCTGGCAGTTGCCTTAAAAATAATTGAATCTTCAGCAAATTTATGTGGCTTCGCAAAACCAAGAGATTATCAAAACTATGGCAGATGTTTTATTATTATTTGGGGATTTAGAGGTAATAAGCAAATATTTGTGTTGTCTTGTTTTGGGGCAACAGGTTCATGAGAGTTCATAAACTTTATTTAAATCCCCGACCATGAATATTCACTTTGTTGCGGTATTTGAAATAAAATATGTATGTTTTTCATAAAATTCATACCAAAAATGATATCAATTGGAGATAATAAATATTCAAAAGCATATCTGGTTTGTTAGAAAGCAAACATTTGATATTGCATACCCAACAGGGGACCATTGTACGGTTAGGGCGTATTACGTTACGTGAGAGATTTTTGCATGAGATGAGAAATGCTCTTCGTTGTTGGAATATTAAAATTTTTTTTCGGGGAATTAGCTGAGATTAATTCTTCCTGAAATGAGAAAAGTTGGAAATTAGATGTTATTTAGAACAAAAAAAAAAAGTAATAATAATAATAATAACAATAATAATAATAATAATAATAATAATATAATAATAATAATAATAATAATAATAATAATAATAATAATAATAATAATAATAATAATAATAATAATAATAATATAATAATAATATAATAATAATAATAATAATAATAATAATAATAATAATAATAATAATAATAATAATAATAATAATAATAATAATATAATAATAATAATAATAATAATAATATAATAATAATAATAATAATAATAATAATAATAATAATAATAATAATATAATAATAATATAATAATATAATAATAATAATAATAATATAATAATAATAATAATAATAATAATAATATAATAATAATAATAATAATAATAATAATAATAATAATAATAATAATAATAATAATAATAATAATAATAATAATATAATAATAATAATAATAAAATAATAATAATAATAATAATAATAATAATATAATAATAATATAATAATAATAATAATATAATAATAATATATATAAATAATAATTAATATAATAATACTAATAATAATAATAATAATAATAATATAATAATAATAATAATAATATAATAATAATAATAATAATAATAATAATAATAATATATAATAATAATAATAATAATAATATATAATAATAAATATAATAATAATAATAATAATAATAATATAATAATAATAATAATAATATAATATATAATAATAATAATATAATAATAATATAATAATATATAATAATATAATAATATAATAATAATATAATAATAATAATAATAATAATATATAATAATAATAATAATAATAATAATTAATAATAATAATAATAATAATATATATAAAATAATAATAATAATAATAATAATAATACTAATAATAATAATAATAATAATAATAATAATAATAATAATAATATATAATAATATAATAATATAATAATAATAATAATAATATATAATAATAATAATAATAATAATAATAATAATAATAATAATAATAATAATAATAATAATAATAATATATATAATAATATAATAATAATAATAATACTAATAATAATATAATAATATAATAATAATAATAATAATAATAATATATAATAATAATAATAATAATAATAATATAATATATAATAATAATAATAATAATAATACTAATAATAATAATAATAATAATAATACTAATAATAATAATAATAATAATAATAATAATAATAATAATAATATATAATAATAAATAATAATAATAATAATAATATAATAATATATAATAATAATAATAATAATAATAATAATAATAATAATAATAATAATAATAATAATAATAATAATAATAATAATAATAATAATAATAATAATAATAATAATAATAATAATAATAATAATAATAATAATAATAATAATAATAATAATAATAATAATAATAATAAT